GCCCGGTACCAAATGACTCACGGACCGGGTTGGGGACTGCTGGTCTAGAGCCCTGGTAGGTAAAGAGTTCCAGTGAGTAAGATCATGCATACCATTTTTAATAGAACTTTAAGCATCCAGCTTCAAACTTTGATTGACATCTACAGTACATGTTGTCAGTGCTGCTGATAGTGGCTCACTAAAAATGACAAAAACCAAGGGGCGAAAGTGGACAGCCTTGCCGTTTGTCCTTCTGCAGATTGAAGTAGGATTGTGCTAACAAATGCATTTGGAAAGCTGTATAGCATTTTGATCCAATCTATGAAGAATGAACCGAATCTAAATTTGTGTAGAAATGCTAATAAAATTTTCTGTTTACCTGGTCTCATGCTTTCTCTGCATCTAATGAGACAACTGTGGTTTCAAATTTGTTGATGGAGCAATAATCTATTATTTTTATTAGTCTGTGTGTATTATCATCTGAGCGTCTACCCTTGATGAAACAGTGATTTTTTTTTCTCAGTCCTCTGGAAAGGACATTGCTAACTTTATTTCAACCTTTTTTTCAAGGTCTACATCAGGGGTCGGCAACCCTGCGCACGCGGAGGGTTAACTGATGGCACTACCATAGCTGGGCTGGCCATCGGGCATACCGGGCATTTGCTCGGTGGGCCGATGGTGGATTGGCCAGATGCTGGCCGATGTGTAAAAATAAGTCATTTGTTTGGTCGTGGCTATGGCGGAGCTTCCACAGAGGCCAGCAGGTAGATGAGGGAAAGGGGAAGCAGGAGGAGGAGAGAACCGAGGTGGCCGCCGGTCCAAGTGTCAGGTGAACTGAACTTCAAGTAAGAAGTTATGACCTGCAGTCTATCTGGGGCAGATATAAACCAAATTTAGGTGGAGTTTATTTTTGTTATGCTGGCTTTTTACAGTCAGTTACAATAACTCGTACTGCGTACTAGCTAGCATGACGGAGTTTCTATACAGCTGTGTGGGTGCTATGATGTTACTCACAGTGAAATTTATTCATAAGGTTAGTTAGTAGAGTTGCCAACTGTCCCCTAAAAATGGAATTGTCCCGTATTCAGAGAAAATATTACGCGTTTTGTATTGAGCTCAGAAGGAACAAAGTTTGTCCCGTTCTTCAGCTGGAATGGAAAAAGACACAAAGCTGGATTTATTCTGCATCTTTACGCTGTCAGCTGCGTCTTCTTCTCTCATTCTCTCCCCTCCCTCTCCTGTTGCTACTTCAATCATGAAACTGATCAGCTGATCGGCTTTTCTCTCTTGTTTGTTTATCGCCCACTTTGCGCCAGAAAGAAGAAACCAGTGGATGTCACGCTAAACACCAGCAGCACGTTTACCATGAACTGTTTCTGAGAGACAAATAACACCAGGATCCTTTTCTAAGTAGCTGACAGCTGGTAACTGTGCAGGGGCGGGTCTAGCAAAGTTTTGCCAGGTAGGGCATTAACAGGGAAAGGGGGGCACAAAGAAATACTTTCTTATTCTCATTTAAAATGTCCAGCTGTTATTAAATAATTATCTGAAGCTTACAACGAAAGTTTTTATCTGATGTAAAATGTATAGAAATCATACATATAACATCGAAGCAGCTGGAATCCACAGCTGTGCATGTTCATGGAGCTGCATTTTCACCTGCTGGACATCACTACCTGACAAGTTTAACTGTCTTCAGAACATTGCAGAGGCCTTATTGACAGTATTTGGCTCTACATATCTGTGTGAGCAGATTTTCTCTTACATGAGTGTCCTAAGGTAGCCGTCTGAATGCTGGACTCTCAGAGACCTGTGTCTCTAAGTGGGAGACCAGCGATCACATTAACATGTGTGTCTCTGTATTAACAGACATGCCATATTGGCTTAGTTTATTTTTCTTATCATTGTTGTGAGGAGACCATAAATAGCATTTGTATTTTCTGTATTTGCTGTTATGGAGTTCTTGTTATGGATAAAAAGTGTCTTTTTTTTTGTTTCAAAATAGCTGATAACTATTCACTAATAGCTGCCAACATCTGCGAACAATTATAAAGTGGTTCCGTATAGTGTGTAACTGTTATTAAAGAACGTTATTAAATTTATTACTAATGCAATCATATGGCACATTGACTTCTGAGGAAATTTTAAATGGCACTCGCCATCAGAAAGGTTGCCGACCCCTGGTCTATGCTCTTGTGTCAGGCGCTTCAGTAGATTACCTTTGCTATTAACAGCGGCCGATAGTTTTTACATATTACTGTAATATTCTTGTCTGCTTGTTTCAGAAAAGTGAAGAGACGGGAATATTTCCATTTCATAAAACAGCCACTCGCTTCAGCCGAGTCCGACATCTTCCGCTTTAGAATACGACTATGCAGCAAACTGGCGCGAAATGACCTGCACTACAGCGATGTTAAAGCGGCAGAGTTTACTTTTACCTTTAGAAGATAAATTATTGAAATTAAATAATGATATTCAGCGAGTTTAATTATTTTACAATGTAACGCAAGTACATTGTAAGTAACTGTAATTAAAATACCTAAAGATGAACAGTAATCAGTTACTCTACTTTTTCAGTGGAAAAGTAATTTAATTACAGTTACGCGTTATGCCC